TCCGTTCGCACCACGATCGTGTGCGTGAGGAAATAGTGTCTAAGCCTTCTTGCTGCGTTGACGAGGGCCAGAGCCACCTTTTCTATCTGTTGGTATCTAACCTCGGGCCCTTGAAGCGCCTTGCTCGTGAAATAAACGGGTTTTTGTCCGTCGTGCGTCTCACAAATGAGGGTTGCACTGACGGCTTCGACCGAGACGGCTAGGTATAGAAATAAGGTTTCTCCATCAACTGGTCGTGATAACACGGGCGGCTGCGAGAGGCTTTGTTTAAGATGGAGTAGCGCCTGCTCGCATTCCTCGGTCCATTCGAAGGCCGCTTCCTTGCGAAGGAGCTTAAAGAAAGAGAGGGCGTGTTGAGCGAATTTCGCAACGAAACGGGATAGTGAGGTGAGCATGTCATTCAAGATTTGTATGTATTTTTTCGACGTAGGTGTGGGGAGGTCAGAGAAAGATCGACACTTGTCGGGGTTGGCTTTGATTCTCTGTTCTGTTAAGTAGAAGCCGAGGAACTTGCCCGCCTTGACCCTGAACATGCACTTCTCGGGGTTAAACCTCATTTTGCATTGCCTTGCTTGGCCAAAGACTTCCCTGAGATGAGCGGCATGGTCGGTGTCTGCTCGGGACTTGACGATCATGTCGTCCATGTATACCTCGAGCATATCCCCGATTTGGTTGCGGAAAACTTTGTTCGTCATCCGCTGATACGTTGCTCCTGCGTTTTTCAGACCGAAGGGCATTATGTTGTAGTAATAGTTGCCCGAGCTAGTCATGAAAGCGGTGCAGTGTTTGTCGCCTATTGCCATTGGGATTTGGTTGTATCCCGAATAGGCATCCATAAACGATAGAATTTTATAACCGGTCGAATTATCGACCAGCATATCAATATTAGGTAAAGGAAATGAATCTTTGGGGCATGCCCGATTAAGATCGGTGTAGTCAACGCACATTCGCCATTTTCCATTATTTTTCTTGACAAGTACAACATTTGACAGCCAGGTTGAATACCGGGCTTCAGAAATAAAATTTTCCTCTAAGAGGTCTTTTACAGCTTTTTCAGCAGCCTCCGTTTTCTCCGGAGACTGATTACGTCTATGTTACACTATTGCCCTAGCGGCTGGATCAATGATGAGTTGATGACAGGCGACCTCAGGGTCGAGACCGGGCATTTCCACAGTGCTCCATGCGAACAGATCTGCATTCTCCAACAAGCAAGCCTTGATTTGCTTCCTCGCCAAGTCGGGGAGTCCGGTGCCAATCTTCACTCCTATGCTTGGGTCTTCACTGAGGGGGATGAGCTCGAAGTCCCCGTCCAAAATTGGTCGAAGCGGGACCAGCCCGCCGCTAGGAGGCTCATCCTGGTCGAAGCGAGTGTCTAGGGATATCGAGTCGACCTTTGGAGTGGCTCTCTGCTCTTCTTCTCTGACGGGCTCTGACCGCTGAGGTTCTGGTCGCGTAGTTGCAGCTTTCTTGGCCGGCCTTGTGCTGGTGTTGACTGTGTTGTGTCCCTTGGATGCCGCGTTAAAACACCTTCAGGCAGCTGTCAGGTCACCTTGGATAGTGGCAACATGTGCCCTCTTGGTGTAGAACTTCATTTTTAAATGGACGGTGGAGGGCACGGCGGTCAGCTCTGCTAGTGTCGGCCTTCCTAGAATGCAGTTGTAGAGGGAGGGGCAATCAATGACGAGGAAGCGCACCTTGACTTGCCTCGTAGCATTATCCTCGCCGAACGTGACCATGAGTTCGACGTATCCCTAAGGCTTGGAGGTCGAGCCGTTAAAGCCCTGCAGGTCCGACCCCACGTATGGTGAAATGTGAGAGTCGTCGAGCTGCAGGGTTTGGAACAGCTGGTTGTACATCACGTCGACGGAACTTTCCTCATCGACGAGGAAGCGGTGTACATCGAAGTTGGACATTCTTGCCCTTATCAGTAGAGGGATGGCCGAATTGGGGGCCCATCTGGGGAGCTCCTCGAGGTAGAAGGTGATTGGCTCTGATCTGCCTCTCACCCTTTCAAAGGTCACCGTTTGAGGGGGGACCGTGTCGACCAACTCGTCCAGCTTCCTCTTAGCTGAATTTATGGTCAAATCATTGAACCCTCCACCATTGATGACCATGGCAGAGGGGAAGTGTTCCCACCTGTTGTGCATAGACAAAGGTTCTTGCAAATGTTCGGGGATGTAGAAGTCCTCGGGTCTTGTGACGGAGAACGCGGTTTGGATGGGAACCGACTCGTCAGATGGTCGGGCATCCTCTTCTGCTTCCCTCATCTCACGAGCATCCCGACGAGGAGCGTCATTTCGCCGATATTGTGCAAGTCTTCCCCCTTTTATGAGGGTCTCGATTGTGTCCTTGAGGTGGATACAGTCTTCGGTCAGGTGCCCGTGGCTCTGGTGGTACTGGCAGTATTTGCTTCAGTCCACCCCGGGTTTGGCAGGAACTGGACGGGGATGTTTGACGCCGCCGTCCTTGAAATTTGTACTTGCGCACTCCGCTAAGATGCGCTCGTGAGAACCCATAAGCGGAGTGTATTTTGTGAATCTTCCCGAGGGTCCCCTTTGTTCTCGGGCGTCTCGGGGTTTATCATCCCTTCTCTTTTCCCCAGTTCGTCGAGGAGGGGCGGTGTCTTGTCACAGATTGCTGCTGGATCTGCGGTTTCTGGGGTCTCGGGTTCTGTTGGCCGCTTCTCTCTCCTCGTAGTCCATGTAGGCCCTGGCCTTTTCGAGGAGGGCATCAAACGTTCAGGGTGGTTCGATGCCCACGGCTTTTCTAAATTTGGTGCTGGGGAGGAGCCCCCTCTCCAGCAGGTATCTCTTCATATGGTCCGTGCAGGGGACCTGGATGGCTTCCCAGTTGAAGCGGTTAATGAATTCTCTCAAGGTCTCATTGTGCTTCCGAATGATGGCCTTGAGCGCTGCTTCGGTCTTCGGGTGTCATCGCGAAGTAGTGAACGAGCTGATGAACTGGTTCTTCAGGTTTCGCCAAGAGGTAATTGACCCCAGGGCAAGACCTTTGTACCAGTCCATAGCCGCTTTCCTCAGAGTCGTGGGGAACAACCGGCATTTGATTGGTCCCCCGATGTTGTGGTAGTGCAGCATGGCTTCGAACTCGTCTATATGGTCGACTGGGTCGGCGATGCCGTCATACTCCTTTAAGTGGGGAGGCTTCTCCATGCCCGGGGGAATGGGCGCCTTCATGATAGCTTGTGACAAGGGACCGCAGGGGTCGTCCTCGTCACTCCGTTTCGGAGAGCGGGATGGGGATGCGATATAGTGGCGGTCATGGTGGCCCTGGTCGCACGGAGCGTTCCTCGAGCGGTGTGACCGTTGATGGTTTCCCCCGTGTCTGTCTCTGGGAGGTCTTCGTTCTTGCCGCGAGGGGTCATGGTCGCGCCTTCCTGCGTCGGCGAGTGGTTCCCTCTCCAAAGGGGGTCGTTGCCCGAGTGGTTGAGGCGACGGACTTCGAGAGATGTCCCGATTCTGTCTTCGTGGGGGAGATCGGGGACGTTCGTCCGCTTGTCGAGGGGGAGGAGATTGAGGTCTCATGTGCCTTCTAGGGGGCCTTCGGTCGTCCTCGAGTGCTCTCAGTCTTTCCTCCTGGGCAAAGATGAGATAGTTGGTTTGGTTAATCGCCGCGAACAGTTCCCTGGTTGTGGCGTCCGCCCCGACGGGGACGGGGACCTCATGGAATTGGACGGCTGGGTAGTTCAGAGTAATTGGTTGATCTTCTTCAAGTCGAGGAGGGATTGATGAAGAAGAAGACGTGGCTCCGTCCCAGTAGTTAGAAGGCCCGTGGATGTTGACGCTAGAGACCGTATTATGGTCGGCGGTACCGGTGTTGTCGAGGCCGACATTATTGTCGGCGATGTGGTTGTTAACGTCGATGACACGGACGTTCTGGTTGTCTTGAGTTTGGTCATCCATGACAATCGAGGATTGTTAGCTTTTGTCTTTTAAACGGAGAGAAGACGGAGAAGCTTAGATTCTCACAGACGGTGCCATTGATCTGACCTGGTCAGAGTTGGACCGTCACAGTTGGCTTCGGGCTGGATTTGAAGGAGATGGGGGGTACCTGCAAGACACTCTGATGGTAAAGCGAGAGACGGAATGAGCAAGCAAGTATGAATGTATGTGTGAATGAATGAATACATGACCCTCTCATGAGAGAGGGTATTTATAGCCTCCAGCACTGGGCCAAGGTCCCGACTATTGAGCCACATGGAGGCTCAATAACGGGAACTGCCAGGGTTTACGTGAGTATGGAGTCCAGCAAGTGGATCCCCCTGGTCAACCACTCTGCGAGAATAGGGTTGGACCCGAAATTTCCGGAGAGCAGTTTGATATGTCCGTTGTGAAGTGGTGGGTCACGTCGTCCAACGGTTAGATGGGGAGGTGCCCCACAATCTCTAACTTGGACCGTTTGGGCCTTTTGTTCGTAGGGCAAATGTAGGCCTAACCCAGATCAATAAATATATATATATATATATATATATATATATATATATATATATATATATATATATATATATATATATATATATATATATATATATATATATATATATATATATATATATATATATATATATATATATATATATATATATATATATATATTTAAAAAATTTGAATTTTTTTTTTTTGTTATTTATATTCGAAATCAGAGAAATTAAACATATAAGTTATAATGCCAATTATGAACTATGCAGTTACTTTTTATATGTAATATTTAGATAGATAGATATTAATGGAATATATATTATCATATCATTGACTTCAACATTACGACTAAAACTAAGTTCTTAATGTGTTAAATTCTAAATTGGATCGTTCCGACCCAGTTTCGTAGAAACATCACAAAATGTGGAAATTATATTGCATTGAATTAAACTTGAAAGTGAAAGGCGAGTTGAATGAATCAATTCATTATTTTTCTTTATCTCACCAAAGCCAATTCTATAATTCACACGTCATCCACTATTACTGGTTTGTTCTTGCGCAAGAATGAAACCTCTGCTTCATCATTCTTCTTCCATTTTTGTTTTCTTTAACTTCTTCACCCTTTTGATGATTTTCCTCATCAATATTCCAACGTGTCTATGCGAGGATGATGAGTACACAAACTGTAACACCGCTTTTTCCTGCGAAGACAATATCAAAGACCTCAAGTATCCGTTCTGGGGAGAAAGCAGAAAAAGTTATTGTGGTGGTGTTGCTGCTGATCCTATTACCACGGAGCTTACATGCGAAGATAAAGTTTCAAAGATCACAATCAATAACCCTTAAATATCGTATTCTTGGATGGGACGATAAAACACGGATACTCACGGTGGCTAGAGACGATTATTCAGATGGTGATGTCTGTGCTGGGAATAACAATGACCAGAACAGCACATTTGATAACAGTACTAAATTTCAACGTTACAATGATGTTGCTAACGTAACTCTCTTGTACGGTTGCAATGTTGGAGCTATAAATGTACTGCCTCCATTTTATGATATTGACTGTGGCAAAAGTAAATATATTGTCTACACCGTTGTTTATTCTGATTCGTTCTCTGCCTTCTGTGCTCCGACTCATACTGTCGTGATTCCAATTTTGGAAAGCCTAGCTCAACAACTGGGATCTGGCAATGGACTACTGAGCAATGTATTAAAAAAATCATTACAAAGCGGTTTTGATTTGAAATGGAGCGGAAGCTATGGGGAATGTGAGAGTTGCGTTACTTCAGGTGGAGCATGTGGGAATGAAGGAAACACTCAATTCAAATGTTTCTGCTCTGATGGAATTAATGCAACTTCATGCCTTTCACCAGAGTTCTCACCCTCAAGTATGTCTAAAATATCACTTTTCTCCAACTTCAATTTCTATTTCATTCTACAATTAAATTATATATGATAAAAAATATGGTTCGATCTAACTCAACTCCAACTTATATGATAGTGAGAATTATCCTATTTATATACGGTCTAAAATGAGATTTTTAAAACTATATAATATTACAAATAATGGTTTTTAATATTGTGAATTTTTTATTTTTATAATAATTCTGATATGGATTTTTTAGTTGATCAAAATCATGTTTTCATTTTATTTAAAAAAAAAATGAAAAAAACAATTTTATAAATTTATCATCAGAGCAAAAAGAGATAGGAATTTTCTTTTCAATGAAATAAAAGAAGTACAAATAAATTGACAAACAACGACTTAAGGGTATTTTTCATCTTCAAACTAAATTCAAAACTAATAGCTAAGTCTATCAAAAGTTGACAAAAATAAACTTTGAGAAACACACTTAAATACCATACTTAAATTTTTACTCCAAAATCTATTTTCTTCATCGAAACCTCTATAGAACATTTCATCAAACATATCGAAGACACACTTAAAATAAGTTAAACAAAAACACAACACATACAAATGAGTAACAATGAGATGTCGATAGACGTTTGAACAAAATAATTCTTCTGTTATTTTTATAATTGTATTTTAAAAAAATTATACAAGCACATTAGTTTTTTATTCGTACCCTTAGCTATGCAACTCAACGCATGTTATTAGATACGAAGTTTTGTTCATTAGTACGCCATCTTCATCTGCTGTAGTGTGATGCTGAGAGACTGTTATTACTTTTTTTATTGAAGGAGGGCATAAGCACAAAAAACAAATCATCTATTAACCGTTGGTGCGCAAAGGAGAGATGAAGACAAAATGAATATATTGAATGACAGCTACAAAATAAAGAATAGTGAATTACATTGACCTACCTACTACTAGGCTATTTATACACAAAATTAGGGTATAATAAAATACTAAAATACTCTTTAACAAACTTAATCAATAAGATATTCCTAAAATATAAATTAATTCCAACATCATCCCTTAATTTATATTTACACAAAACTGACAACACCAATTTCATCCCTCAAACGAAGACATTGATCAGTCTTGATAGTCTTTGTTAGAACGTCAGTCAGATGCTTTTGGATGCTACAATGCACAACTTCTAATATTTCACTTTGAACCTGATTCCTCAGAAAGTGATACTTGGTCTCAATATGCTTGCTTCTCCCACGCAGCACTGGGTTCTTGGCAAGATTGATTGTAGACTTGTTATCAATCATCAGCTTCAGAGGTTTGTCTACCTCAATCTTCATATCTTGCAGCAAGTTCAGAATTCACACAGCTTGACATGCAATCAGAGCCCCTGCAATATATTCAGCTTCATAGGTTGACAGCGCAACAATAGGTTGCTTCTTGGAACACCAAGAAATATGACCTCCCAGAAATTTGAATAAGTACCCAGAAGTACTTCTTCTGTCAACTCTGTCTCCACATCAATCAGAGTATGAATAACTCAGAAGTTCTGATTCGATCTTCCCTCCAGAAGGAAATAACAGTCCATACTTCAGAGTTCCCTTCACATACATCAGAATCCTGACAACAGCTTGGTAATGAGACCACTTTGGTTTAATCATAAATTTGCTAACCATTCCAACTGCATAGCAAATATCAGGTCTGGTATTACACAAACACCTCAGAGAACCAATCATCTGTTTGAAGGTTGTAGCATCCACATCCTCTCCATCAGAATCAGAGTCCAACTTCTGATCCGTATCAGCAGGTGTGATAGCAACTTTGTAATTCTCTAGCTTAAATTTCTTCAAAAGCTCAAGTTCATACTTTATTTGATACAAAATGATTTCTTTCTCAGAGTACATAAACTTCATCTCTAGAAAGAAACTCATTTTTCCAAGATCTATCATTTCAAACTCATTCATCAAAACCTTCTTGAACTCAACTATCTCTTGTTCATAACTTCCTGTGAGTAATATGTCATCAACATACAAACATACCAGAATCATATTACCTTCTGAAGCGTGATGAACATAAACACCATACTCCATCTCACACTTCTGAAACCCTTGTCCCTTGAAAAATGAATCAATCTTCAAATTCCAAGCTCCGGGCGCTTGCTTCAATCCATACAAGGCTTTGTGTAATTTGAACACCACCCCTTTCTATTTTTTTTTCTCAAATCCAGGAGGTTGTGACACGTATACCTCTTCTTGTAATGAAACATTCAGAGATGCAGATTTTACATCTAAATGCATCAGAGGCCAATTCTTGTTAGCAGCTATTGCAATCACTAGTTTGATTGTTTCATGTCTCGCTACAGGTGCAAACTCTTCAGAGTAATCCAGCTCAGGCTTCTGTAGAAAACCTCTTGCTACTAATCTTTCTTTGGGAAAGCCAATTGACCCATCTGGCTTTAGCTTCTGCTTGAAAACCCATATGACGCTGATGAATTTCTTGCCTTTTGGAAGTTCTGTAAGTTTCCAAGTCTTGTTTCTCTCTATAGCATCAATTTCTTCTTTCATGGCCTGCAATCAGACTTACTGCTTAAGATCCTCTTTTGTACTCACAGGTTCAGAGTCTACTAACATTGCACACTGAATAACTTCTCCTTTGGAGTCTACTTCAGTGTCTTGTAACATGTCAAACTCTGCAAATCTTCTTGGGATGCTTTTGACTCTTTATTGCCTCTGAATTTGAACTTTAGAACTTCGGACACCAGAACTTTCTCCTTCAGAAGCTCTTGCTTCAGAAAATGGACTTTCTCCAGAACCTTGACAACCACCAGAAGCTCCACCTTTGTTATCTTCTGGACCTCGTTCAGAACCACTACCTTTAGAAATATCATTTTTAAAAGTTGGATCACCTTCATAAGCTCTGCCTTCAGAAGATCCACTTTCAGAATTATAATCACCGCCAAAGGCTAAATTTCCTTCAGAAGCTCCTCCTTCAGAACGTCCATCCTTAGAGTCATGCTTTCCACCAGAAACATGATCATCTTTAGAAGTTTGTCCTCCAGAACCTACGTCTTCAGAATTTTCCCTTCTACAAGTATGATCACCACCAGATTCAGAATCATCATCAAGCTCTGATACCATCATTAGGGGAAATTTTGAGGAGGGAGAATTCTTTACTCGGAATACACTTTATTGTGAGAGACACACTACATATTCAAACCTTAAGGTGATTGGTGTGTGGCTTCTCTCACTTATAAAATGTTCATTCTTCCTTTTTCTAATTAATGTGAGACTTCTTCCTCACACTTGATTCTCAATATTCCCCCTCAAGTGTGAGTCTACAATGCTCTCCCTCATGTGTCGGTCCCTTTACTCGAAACCAAAGGCTCTGATACTAGTTGTTGGTGCACAAAGGAGAGATGAAAGACAAAAGAAATATATTGAATGACGACTACAAAATAAGGAATAATGAATTACATTGACCTACCTACTACTAGGCTATTTATACACAAAATTAGAGTATAATAAAATACTAAAATACCCTCTAACAAACTTAATCAATAAGATATTCCTAAAATATAAATTAATTCCAACATTAACCAAGTGTGAAGAAGTGATTTCCAACATAATCAGAATCAACTAATAAAAGATGAGGTGGACGGTGCTTATAAAAATCACGTTAAATTTAAAGTAGGTAGCTATGAAGCAGACATTGACACATCGTCATCGATATTAATTTGAAAAAATAAATAAATTACACGTAATTATAGTCAATTTCATACACAGACACATTAACACAAACACTAACACACATTTTTGCAGAGGTGTTAGTGCGATAGATATATGGAAAAATAAGATGTATACTTTATCTAAATCTAACTGTTGCAACCCCATACACATACACAACTGTGTACACAATAGAATTGTTACTATTATCATTGTAGTTCAGGGCCGACCCAATCTATCAAGAGACTCTGTTCTAAATTAAAAAATAGGCCTAAATTTAAAAATTATATATATAATTTTAATAATTAAAAATGACGCATAAAAGAAAATTACATATTAATCAAATGAAGCACTAAAAAACTGAAAGTATTGTTTAAACTATAAACATAATTTCATACAACTTAAAAGTATCTAACTATTTAAAAAGAGATGTCCTACGAACACTTTTTGAAGCAAATTCATCAAGTAAGTCTTCATATTTTATTGTCTCCAAAAGATCATTTTCTATTACAATTAATGTCAATTCATTAAGTCTTTCTTGTGACATCGTAGACCACAAGTAAGTCTTTAACAACTTTAATTTTGAAAAACTTCTTTTAGCAGAAGCAGAAAATCACATGAATAGTAATAAAATTCTATACGTTATAACTGTATTAGGAAAACAATCCAAACCTTTCAAAAATAATAATGTATAAGTAGGGCTTATGATTCCTTCAGGCATCATTTCTCTTAGTGACTTTAACTCTGCAAAAAATTCATTCCCATCGATATCAAATTGTTCATTATGTTTCAATACCCGTTCAAAGTTACTACAACAAGACTTCAAAGTTACTACAACAAGACTTCAAAGTTGCATCATCTAATAATTGTAACTTTTGAGAAGTAAACAAGAAACCAAAAATACTTTCATACTCTTGGTATTGCTTAAATCTCTTATTAAGAGAAACAACAACTTGATCAATAAGGTAAAGAAAATAATTCATCCTGAAAGATTCCTCTTCAGATAACTCAACTGTTAGGGTATTCAAATTATCATGAAACTTTATTTATCTTTTAATTATACTCCTTTAAGGAAATATTGAGGTGATATTCAATTCAACCACAATTTTCTTAGTGTTAATCAGAGCCTAAAACCCGTTTCTCTATATCCGTCAAAAAATGAAATCAACTCCTTTATTTTTTGCATACCAACACCAATAAACATATATTTTTCAATGGCAAGCACACTATCAAGAATTTCAGTATCGATAATATCAATATAACGACTTTCATTTGAAACTTGTGATTCTTTTATTAAAAATTTATCAAAAGATCATTGAATTAACTCTCAATCTTTTTCTTTTTCTTATGTTTATCATTTTCATATTCATTTTTTTTAGATCTTAGAAGACATAATAAAAAAATCTGAAATATCTCACTAAATTTAATGGGTCGACTAATGATCAACTCCGCGCTGCGATATACTTGTAGTCCAGTTGTTAAATTGTGTACCTACAATACAACAAAAAATAATATCATGATAATTATTAATAATTTTTTATAGTTTTTAATGTAAGAGTTTCATTAAATTAAAGTAATAATATTAAACTAAAAACTAAAGATTAAAGACAAGAAATCAAACACACGTGATACATAAAACACAAAATTCCAAAAAACCATTTATAATTATAACTTAGAAACCACATTAACACACACAGTAGGACATAAAAACCAAACCAAACGCATAGTAACAGTAATAGGAAACACAATTTTTCAAAAACACAAATTTCCAAAATCTATTTATAAGTTATAACTAAAAAATCAAACACACAGGTGAATAACTCACTTTCTGTTGCTCACATCACAGTTCAGTTCACAGAAACTATTTTTTCCAATTTCAAAAGACCAAAATGAAATTCCAATTATAAAACCACAAATTAAATAACAAACAACATAGAAAAATACATCAGCTTGAACAAACTGAAGCTTACCGATTGCACAGCCGCACCGTCGCCGTTGTGAATGTCGTTTTGTTTTGTCTCGTCGCTGTTAATCTGTTATGTGATGCTTCGTCGCTGTTATGTGGTACTGGTAGCTTTTTTTTTTTGTTTCGTTTCGTCACGTCGCTGCATTTCATTTCATCGTCTTGATGTCTCGTTTTATTTCGTTTCTCTCGACCTCGTAACCGTAAGAGAAAGCGTTTCGGTTTGGAATAAGGGTGAAGAAACCAAGCACTGTTCGGAGAAGAAAGTGAGTGTGGTTTAAACTTTGGAGAAGAAAGAGAGATACTTATATTTTTGGGATGTGTTTCTTTTCTATTATATTTAATAATTATAAAAAAAAAATGGCCCCTCGGATTCTGAGGCCCAGTGCTGTAGAACTTGTTGTACTGGTAAAGGGCTGGCACGGTTGTAATCAGGGGTGTTTGCGGTATCGATTTTGATGAAAAAAATCATCTGAATCGCAAGAGAAAAAATATGTGGTTTGGTTTAGTTTGATTGATTTTTAGAAATAAAATTGAACCAAACCGAATCAAAACAAATCAATACAGTTTGGTTCGATTTTTTTAAAATTTTATTGAACCATATATACATGATGACAACATAATTTTATATTTAACCATTCGTACACTAATAAATAAAAATAAAACTCATCATATTTAGATGATTACTTTTTATTTAATATTTAAAAATAATATTAGACAAGTGGAATAATAAATCCAAAAGATTAGTATAAAATAATATAAAAAATATTATAAGTGTGAGGAAGAAAAAATATAAGATGCTAGAGATTTGAGAAGAAGAGGAAATATGTATTTGAAGAAGAATGTGCAATACTGCTTATTTGAGAAGGTTGAAAATGAAATAGTAAGTGTGAGGAAGAGAAAATCTTTTGTAATGGTAAGACTAAGCGATAATATGTTTAGGTTTGGGTTGGAGGTGAATTAAGTGAGATTTGAATTGTACCATAACGCAATTTGATTTAGTTTGTAAAATATAAATCGCAAACTGAAGCGAACCGCACGATCTTGTTAAACTATGACATAAATACATCTGAATTAAATGTGATTTTTACAATTTTCGATTTAGTTTAATTCAACTTGCGTTTTTCTATTGAGCTGATTCGGTTTTGAAGTCCCCTAAATGTAGCTGCTATTGGTTATAAGCATTCTTCAAAGATTGCATTCTCTATCTCTTATGTTTTCTTCATCTGAATCAACATAATGTGTTGTGCAGCATTGTTTTATCCCAAAAAAAGATAAAATTCTAGGAAGGTAAAGTGTATAAACTTTTGATTCACAACAAATATCAAGAATAAAATGCATAAGCACATGGTCGGGAAAATTAGGAGTGTGCATGGTTACCATATATTGTGATCCAATCCACTTTTATGGTTATGGTTTACAAACCAAACTATTAATCACAAAAACTGATTTAAAAAATATAATTGATTTTAAACCGGATTAAAACCGATTTGAAACCAGTTTTAATTTTAATCCAAATTATTTAAATATAATTTAATCTATATTCAATTTATTTTAATTAATAAAATTTTAAAATTAATTTAGTACTAATTTTTTTAAACATTAATAAAGCACATTCTTAATTTAATTTTAAGCAGATTTTAAAAAATTGTCGCGATCGTATTACAATTTTTGCAATTTCGGTCGATAGAGGTGTTACGATATTGATTGTGTTCGTCGCAGTGTAAATTATTAATTATAATTTGTTTTCTAATATAAAACGGATATAACAATATCGATATCGACATATGTCCAAAACATTTTGTCGCAGTCGTTCTCACGCTCACAAAGTATTTTTTAAAACTTTTTTATGTTTAAATGATCATTTTTGTTTTATCAATCCTAAAAGAAAAATCAATTAATACTGAGATAGTATTAATTAATTTACTGTGCACATTCGTTTTCTTATATAAAGTATATGTATGTATATTGAATGAAAAGAGATCAAATTCAAACAAATTTCTTTCAAATTTAAATTTGTCTTCTACAGTGATAATAATATATCTTACTTTTTAAATGTTTAATATACTATATCTTTTAATTTATTTGAGAGCGTTTGCATATTTTTTAACTATAATTAAACATTTTTATATTTATTTAATAATTAGTCATTTGAAATACAATATTAAACATCATTCAATTTTTATGAAAATGTGTAGAGCTTATTTTCTTGAGAAATTGTGAAAATTGGAAAGCAGAAAAATTTGATGAGAAAGAAATTTGGATACCCAATAACCATTTTATGGGTACCGATTTACCACTTTGATCATAGATGGACAATCAAATCCAATATTTAATATTTAGATTGAGTTTTAATAAATGAAACAATTTAGATATGAATTTGGTTATTAGTAACCAGTTTTTTTGTACACCCCTAGAAAAATGAAGAAATATAGTTAGTTAGTTTTAAAAATCCAGTCATTTTGGTATGGGAAAGCGGGAAAATGGATCACAGCGTATAATTTCTTATTCACACTTGATAGTTGACTCTCCAACAAAGGAACTCAAAATTTATGAAATGAAAGTGAATGACTATAATTTTCTCCTCTATAATACATACAACAAAATTAAATGCATGCTTGGCGGTGCCATGATTTTGTTTAAGCTTTAAAGTGTAGGTTTTGTAAAATCAAAGTGGCTTGCCATAAGTTGCCTGGCTTTATTCCTAAATGTGCCTGGCTTCAATACTAAATGTGCTTGAAGACTTCATGGAAAATATAAGCCTCCAAGATAAATAGATCAATGCTTTGAAACTTCAATGCATCTGATTTCAACATATTGTTCATGTCTCAGCATCACTTCAATAGCTGGTTATGCAACAACTGATTCAATAATATGTCAGTATTTATATAAATAAGGAAATTTTATCTTCATTGCTGCTGCAAACTACAAAGAAATTAGTAAATAAATGATCATCAATTTCTCATCAAGAGACAATGTATGATTGATTATTATAAGTTCTGTCTGATTTGATTGTTTTTACTGTAGGTTCAAAACATGGCTGGAGGCTTAGCTGGAGGCTTATTGTGATACTGATAGGTAAGAACAATAAGTAATATCAGTTTTTATGATATCAGCGTTTCTCATCCCACATTATAGTGGCGTGGACTTTTCTTCAAAAATAATGGCTGAAAATACTTCACTTTGTCTTTGATAAATTCAGGTGCTGCAGGATTTGGAGTAACAATGTTCTTTATAATTATTATCATTAGATGTCACCTAAAAAGGGGTACAGGTAGACAACAAAAGAGTATTTTCAGGGAAAGAAGAAACCTTGTTGAGCACAATGTGGATGTTTTTATGCAAAATTATAATTCATCCATGCCAAGAAGATATAGTTATATAGAAGTAAAAATGATCACAAACTCATTTCGAGAGAAATTAGGCCAAGGAGGATATGGTGCTGTATACAAAGCAAGTTTAATCGATGGTCGTCTAGTGGCAGTGAAAGTAATAAACGAATCAAAGGGAAATGGAGAAGAATTCATAAACGAAGTTGCTAGTATTAGTAGAACATCACACATGAACATTGTATCACTCTTTGGTTATTGTTATGAGGGAAACAAAAGAGCACTAATATATGAGTTCATGCCCAAAGGTTCATTGGATAGGTTCATCTATAAAAGTGAATTTCCTAATGCTATTTGTGATTTTGATTGGAACACTCTGTTCCAAATTGCAATAGGCATTGCTAGAGGACTAGAGTACTTGCATCATGGATGCAACTCAAGGATTTTGCATCTTGATATCAAACCCCAAAACATTCTTTTGGATGAAGATTTTTGTCCAAAAATATCTGACTTTGGTTTGGCTAGAATATGCCAAAAGAAGGATAGTACTGTGTCAATACTAGGGGCAAGAGGAACTATAGGATATATGGCACCTGAAATATTCAGTAGAGCATTTGGTGGAGTTTCTTACAAGTCTGATGTGTACAGTTACGGAATGCTGATTCTTGAGATGATAGGAGGAAGAAAGAACTATGACACCGTAGGGTCATGTACTTCTGAAATGTATTTTCCTGATTGGATTTATAAAGATCTTGAGCAAGGTAATACTAGTAACACTCTTTTAAATAGTTTGACAATCTCAGAGGAAGAAAATGATATGGTTAGAAAGATCACTTTCGTGAGTCTATGGTGCATTCAAACGAATCCATCCAACAGACCACCAATGAATAAAGTAATTGAAATGCTTCAAGGACCACTTTCATCAGTGTCATATCCTCCAAAGCCGGTTTTGTTTTCTCCTGAACTACCACCACTACAAGTAGAGTCAATATCCTCCTCCGATTTGTACGAGACAAATTCAATTAGAGTTTCGAAATAATTGTTCTATCTACGAATCAAATGATTACTTACACAGCTTCCAAAATGGGAGTTCTGGCATACAGTTTCGGTATTAAATATTTGAAATTCAATATAAATTTCATATGGTTGTAGTGATTGCAGTGGCTAAACTACTAGCATATTAAACAATCTTATTATTTTTGTTGTGAATTCAAGTTATCTAAAATACAAAATTCCAATAAATTTAGAAGAAAATACTTAAATAATGTCTACAAACCCAGGTGCAATGCCTTAACAGTTGCTGACTGCATCCAAGGGCACCTTAGGATTGCGGAAATTAATCACATTATTTCTGATTGTTGAGCCTCAATGTCGCGTTTGGATTTTGCTAGTGTTAGTTTTATTTCTAGAAATTGCAATTTTGATGCTCATAAGCTTGTTGGCTTGGCAAAAACTTGTGGTTCCAAAACTTGGTTTGGTCTCCCTCTTGGGAACCAACATGCTTTTGTATTTTTCATTTTGGTTCTTTGAATGAAGTTGTTTCCCAATAAAAAAATGTAGCAAATAAGGATATAGTTTAAATTTCATTATACCAAGTTCAGATTAGAATATAATTATATATTTATCTTTAGGGTCTCAAGTTGTGTTATTTTTAAGATAGAGTTAAATTGTTATTGGAATTTCAGACAAGTTATTATTAGAATTTTAATAAATATGAGTAGGCAATGGTAGAGACTTCAATAAGATTAAAGGCAATAAAATTTGAGTTTTATTGTAAGAAACTCATTGAGAAATTAGTTATTGTCTCATGTTGTCTATTATTTTTATTCAAGAATGAGATTTCAAGATGAGCAAGATGAAGTAATTGAAGAATAGAAGATAAAATATTAGGTGATTATATATTAGGTTTAAAAAGGGGATTGTTGATCATGCAACTCCACTTGTGTATTATATTACTTTTACTTATTGTATTTTCGCTCTAAGACCACCTTTGAATACTTTTATGATTAACATTGTTTAATAACTTTTAAATAATTATTATACGGTGTTATATAAGTATAAAATATATTTAGAACTTGTTTGTCCCTTAACTCAAAACCTTTTACGAATATTAGATACATGTATGACTTAATATCTCTTTGTTCTTTTATCTTTGATTAGAGATTTATTTTGGTCACATAAATTTTTTTTTTAAATCGTTTCGATCCCTTAATTATTCAAATTGTGTTACACTTATTCTTTTTGTCAAAGATATTAGTCAAAGTCAAATTAAATTTTTGCATGGTGTTGATGTGGAAAATAATTGTAAGTTAATATTAGCAACTCATTTGTTGAGTTTGCATAATTCCAAGTTTCACATAAAAAACCTAGAATTAAAAACATGTTGAATACATTTCAAGAGAATACCAAAATAAAGTGAAGAACATGGAGATGACCAAAAGAATGGTGAATCCAAAGAAAAGAACAAGGATTTAAGGAAAGAAGCATGCAGACCTTGGATACAAACGTAGTTTTCTGGAGTTTACGTTAAATCTTAAATTTTCGGAAATTGGATATAGTTGAGGATAACACATGAATCATTGAGTCTCACAAGTGGGAATGGTATAAAAATTAAATTTACCTCTTGGCCTTCATATATTTGCTATAGATGACCACACGATATATAATTTTGGATATGGGAAAGCACACCATCACCACTAACGGTCCTGGTTAAACCCTGATTCCTCGCGAAACTTGATTATTTAAAAGGCCACCTCTATGTCTAGACCTAGAGTCACATGGATGATTTATGCTATGAAACGTTTCAGTTACAAGACAAGCATTTAATGTGTGTGTTTCAGAGGACACATACTCCCCACCCCACTCAACTAACTTTTTGGTCATCTCCTCCAGCGTGTGAGTCAGCTCATGTAACTAAGACTATGAAGAAGAATGGTCTTTAGGTAGGTCTAGAAACTCTAGCATAATCCTATTTTCACACGTGACAACAAAGACTTTGGGGGCAACTGTTTCGAGTCCGTCAAAGTGCCAACAAGACTGACCTAAATCGAAAGGCTTGACCCGAAGTACCCTTAATGAAAGACAGTGAATAGTTGGAGTCTCGCTAGAAGGTCCTACATGTGATCCGAGTTACTGGTCCATCAAACACTATCAATCTAATCAGACGGTCTCCCGTAACCCACACCAAATCAAGCAAGAATGATCACCATATATAAGTCTTTGACGCGCCATAACGGATATTCATTCATTCTAACTCTTGTGAGTTACACTTCTCAGACCTCTTACACTTAGGCGTTAAAGTGCTAACTTTGTTAGTTTAACATAACTCCACCTTATCAAAGACTTCTACTGCACCAGAAGAGCTTCCTTCTACCGCATCACTCATCTCTCATTCGGCTATAGAACAATTCTCATCTAACAAATTTGTTTAATTTTAAAAATAATAGTTAACTTGTCTTATATATATATATATATATATATATATATATATATATATATATATATATATATATATATATATATATATATATATATATATATATATATATATATATATATATATATATATATATATATATATATATATATATATATATATATATATATATATATATATATATATATATATATATATATATATATATATATATATAAAAGGTTTGTTAATGTAGACCCACCTATTTTTATGAAGGTCTATTTTAGAAACATGCATCTTAGGGTGCATTTAATTATTTTTTAGTTAAAGCTTGGTAAAATACACCTTCATAAAAATAGGTGTATTTTATAAAATCCCACAAGGATTTGATAAAATAGACCCACTTACTTTTTTAAGGTGTGTTTTAGCAACATATACCTTAAGATGCATTTAACCATTTTTTAGTTAAGATTTGTTAAAATAGACCTTCATAAAAAATAAGTGGGTCTATGTTAGCAAGGCCTCAAATATCTCTTATGAGGAGACAATAGAGCAAGACATTGTGGTGGTGGTGTTGATTCTAATACGAAACTCACATGCGATGATAAAGATTCAAAGATCACATTGAATATCGTTAAATATCATATTCTTGATTGGAACAATACTACACAAAAACTCACAGTCGCCAATGACGATTACTGGAGTGGTAATGTTTGTGCTGTGAATACTAATGACGAGAACAACACATTTGATGACACTAAATTTCAATGTTACACTTATAGTGATGTTTCTAACATAACTCTCTTATACGGTTGCAACGTTGGAGCTGTAAATTTACTGACTCTATTTTATGATATTGACTGTGGAAAAAGTAAATGTGTTGTCCACACCATTGTTTATGCTTCATTCTCTGCCTTACGTGCTCCAACTCATACTATCGTGATTCAAATTATGGGAACCCTAGCTAAACAACTCAAATCTGACAATGGACTACTTAGAAATATATTAAAACAATCATTACAAAACGGTTATGTGAGTGCAACTTGTCTCTAGATTTGTTTTGCATGATATCAAAACTATAAGAATATAACATTTATGTATATTGGATGGTATCTTTAAGTTTATGTGACACTGTTTCACCCTAAAATTTACCCTTTGAATCTCAATCACAGTTAACCCAAATCTAACATTCATTCATCTCCACATACAAATTCATCTGCATCATAAGCATTCATAGCATGTGTTTTAAAAACATGGGATCACATTCTTCCTCAAGATTATAATTTTGAAGAAGAGAGGCTCGTCTCTCAAGATTTGTGTAGCGAAAGAAATGTCGAGACTAAGCATTTGGATTAGAATTATCTCATAAAATATCAATTAAGTCGCCACCATACTTTATTTTATTCAAAGGACTAGAAAAAGAGCGAATAAAACCTAAAGTAAAAGAGAGAATATAGGTACGGGGTTGTTTATGTAAAGGGAAGGTATTAGCACCCTAAACATCTACGGTACTCCACAAGAACCTCTTTGAAAATCTGTGTATTTTGGCTATAAAAGGTGTATACAAAGATAGATGGTGGAGATGAGAAAAGAAGCAATTTTTTACAATTTTTTCACCTGCCGCGGTTGCAAACCTTTAGTGCCTACGTACCACCTTTCATGCAATAGGGGATCAGGGTACTCGTAGTTCACCTCAAAAAATTTAAAACACATGTGTGTTGGTTAATTTTAAGAGAAGAGACATCTCGTCATATCTGAGTGGAAAGCATAATTACTATCACAATTATGAGAAATAAGCATTTGCGTCATCTCAAAGTGGAGGACATAGCTTGGGTTTAAAATCAATAAGACATCACTCAATATCTAATTGGAAAATGGCTCACTTCACTTCATATTTTAGAAGTATAGTAGCCCGCATCACTTCAAGAATCAACAAGAGTCTAACCTTTGAGAAAAGATTTTAAATAAAAAACCAAAGTGGCAAAAGGGTTTGAATGAGGTTAATGACTTTTAGTCTTCAAAAAGATGTCAAAGTATGATTAAATTGATTAAGAGTTTTATTAAGAAAAATAATTTTGAAAATGCATGGATTGAAGTCCAAGTTTATTATGAAAGCGGTTCAAGTTTGAAAAACAAGAAGAGTTTTGAAAAGGAGGAGAAGATTTTGAAATTAAAGAATATGGGAGGAGATGGAGGGACTATCCTATGTACACAAAGAAAAAGCTAAGGAAAAGAATGGTCTAAACAACAAGAAGCCAACACTTGACATAAAAAAGTCAATGTAGAATTCTCATACTTTGGATTAAAACCAAGCAAGCATAATACTAAACCTCGGATGAATACCAAGCTTCAGATGAATTAAGAACCAAGCAAAGTCTTCAAGAAAAAATTGGCCATAGTAACAACTGTATACTGAGGAATTCTCAATCACAAACAAAGCATGGAAATCAGAATAACCTGCATATAGAAAAAATTCAAACCTATGCCTTAGAGTAAACCCCAAGGACTTCATAATAACTTCACAAATATATCACATTAAAGACCACAGATTTTCCAGTTCTCAAGGTTTCCAATCCTACATCTCAAAATCTACAATTTCACGTCATACGTTGATGCTTTGAGTC